TACACAACCTAGTGATGCATGTAGGCATACTCTTAAGACAGATACCTAAACGGTACTAGTCCGGTGCCATATTAGATCTTTTATTATTGTTTTTTATCATGTAAGTACCACTTTAGACCACTGTATCTTTACAAACGAGCACCTTAATAAACCATTATTGTAAATTAAAGTAATCTCAACTCACTTGTAGGCATGTGTGTCTGCATTTCGTAAATATTTGTTAAAAGAATATGCATACTATTCCACAATGAAAAAGGACATTACAACTATTACATTATCAAAATACTATTTTTTTTTTCAATTTCTTGTAAGACAGTTTTACAAATAATACAAACGCCCAAACAACGTAGTTGCTAAATCGTATCGTAGCATTGTGTAAAATGTAATCAGAGTATTCTTTCCACAAAGCGTATGTGCTTTGTTGCTTTGTCGGTTTTTCTTTCTGATGGTATTATATTGTAAACAGAGATTACTACTACACTTAATTAAATTATACTTTTTTATGTACCCTACATGAAAACATTGGATAAAGATCTAGTAAACATAGTAAATGTATGAGTATTAATGAAAAGAATAAATGTACAATGTTCTTATATAAATTACAGCTTTAAAAGTTGTGTCAAGTATGCACGAAGTACATTACGCCTTCATTTACTGTACTGATTAAATATTTAATAGAGCATAAGTTCGTATTTAATTCTTTAAATGGCGATAGTGAGTTTCATGGTGGCTGAATAAGAATAAACCATATAAATGTTTTTAATACATACTATAGTTCAGTTTTGATACAAAATTTAAACGTTTCTCCAGCTGCTATCCTGCTATAAACTGTTATATTGCTAAACATCTAATCATCATAGTGTAATTGGCTGTTTTCAATTCAAAGTCTCTTTGTTGATTTTCTAAATCAATGAATGTTATTTATATACTTTTATGTCACAGAATATATTTCCAAATTTCACTGAATTGTGAGATGAAAACTAAACGTCCCTTCCTAAAGGGGAAACAGAGGAAATTTTAGATTGGAATCCATTCGAGTAAGATAATTTGTGCCAATAGAAGTACATGGCGTGTAAATAACGATACTTTTTAGAACGTTAATATTCTTATCGTTCTTTGTTACTATCGAAAGTAACCAAGAAATACAGTTTTCTTAAGCAGAAACTATTAAGTTAATTGATAATAATTTGATTGCGTTTAAGATATTAATAACAAATGTTACTGTCCATTAAAAGTATGGACGAGTTCCAGTTTCCTATAATGTTAGTACTTATACTATTAAGTAAGCCGTAAACATTCGTACGCGTTTGAATTTCCTTCTATCACATTGACAAATGTTTAAGAATCTTGGAGAGGATCTAGTAAATAGTGCATACTTGAATTTTGCAAACATTTTCAGTATTGATTCTTTCAATGTCTCTGATAATCCTGACTTTACTACTTATGTCCTGCTTCAAACGCTTAAATACTAGTAGAAAGCTCTACCCTTTCTGAGAAAATTCTCAGTTCTGGATAGAACTTAATGCCAGTCCGAGTCACTGTCAATGTCCTGCGATTTAGCAACTTCTCTATGCTCTCCTCCTCCTATTAATGAAAAGGACTCATCCTGAGTTGTACAAGTTCCTGAATTGTATTATATTTTACAATAACTGTAGTAATTGTTTACTGGACAAAAGTGCCCAAAATACCGAGGTGATGGGTTGTCGGGGTGACACATAGACGGCTACCCAAGTTATTCACACGAAGTTAAGCTTATAGCTTATTGTTATAACTTGTTGGTCCATTTTTACTTATGACTATACTTAAATTCGTATCGTTATAAGTAAATGGGAATAAACCACAATTTTACCTCGCGATTTAATAGTGTGTCAGTTTCTTTAATATAGCCTATAAAAACTGTATCGGTTCAAACAAAAAATAGGCTGGGTAACATAAATTATTATTTGATTGGACATATAAGTTATAAAATGACGGATTTTTTGTGTCAGTTAGAGATTTGGAAATGATCTTTACCACGATTAAAACGTATCTAATACATCTTAAATTTACAAACCTTAAAATAAATTATTAATTTAAAAGCTTTACTCTAGTGAAGCCACTTGATCAATTTTCGAAACCATAAGAAATTAAATAACCATAACAAAGTTACAATAAAATTAAAAGTAATAATGGAAACCATTTCGTCTGTTCGATGCAATTCTTTAAATTGAATTCAATGCCGTTTCATTAAAGAAGAAAACTAGAGCAAATCCAAATTGCAACTCTCTCAAGTAAAAGCTTTTGTGGTGATAAAACTTTATGAAGTGTAAGGGAAGGAACTCATTTAACCATTCGTCTCTAGAACGTTTTATCCTTATTAGGTAAACTAAATACTGAACACATCCACACCGTGAAGTTATTGTTATCTTAATTATTTTAGCAACTGTCAAGTCTTGTTAATTAACAGCTTACTTCAATGGTATTCATTTTTACGAAATGTTTATATACTTTCTTAAACATAAAACTAAGCATTGGAACTTGATTGAATGATGTAAAACATTACCTATAATTGGCAGCTATGTAATATTGTTACAGTTAATTATATTTGACAGTCTTATGGTTGCTTTACAGTAATAGAATAGCTTAAGTGCATAGTGATTAAACGTTAACTCTATAAAGATTATAATCTTTAGAACTAACACAAAACAATACCTAATAAGCTATTACAAAAAGTTACTAGTATTATATGAATACAGTTAGTAGTTTTTAAAACTATACTTATAATTTTGTGTAGCACTCCAGTCACTATCCATTTCAAAGGTACTAGACTAGACATAAACTTTTGGATTTTCAACATTTTACGTATATTCACTCATGCCTGATTTGTATGTAACTGTGGCTTCGCTGCTTCGTGGAAAATAGCGACAAGACAAAAATTAAGACAAATTTTAAGTAGACAACAAGGTAAATATTTGGCGTCAGAATTCAGTGTAATATTTTTTATATGAACTTTGATGTAAGTCATGTAAAATTTGTCGATTAAAACTTGTAAAAAATTTAAATTCGTTTGATTTAACATTTAAAAACTATAATTACCAATTTTCTCCTTTCACATTAACATTTGTTCAATAATTTTTTTTTATTTCTGTGTGGTTAAATGATTCATTAAAACATTCTTAAGAGTAACTAATAGTATTATAAGTGAATAGTTTTATAATATAAAAATAATAATATACATTAGGCTTTTAAGACCACATCTGTTTTTTAATATACGAGGCATGTTTTTTAAGTAAATACCTTTTTTAAATTTCTCCGTTCCAGCACTGTGATTGGCATTCCGGACATTTGCGCTGTATATGTGCATCTATTGGCTAGCTCTAGTCGGAAATTCGACAAAAATCGGCCCTGTTTACATCCGGTTTCGAGGAATTCAAAATGGTGCCGCCAAATGAGACTGCCGCCGACTGTGAAGTGCGCGCTGTAATTAGATTTTTAAGTGCTAAAGGTGTGAAATTTATCGAAAGATTAGTGAGGTGTATGGCGAGAACATTATGAGTGACGGAATGGTACGCAAGTGGGTAAGGGCATCTAAAGACGGCGCCACCAACGTTCATGATGAGCAACGCACTGGGTACTGGGGACATTGACGCCACCCAGTGCGTTGCTCATGATGGACGTTGGTGGTGCCGTCTTTAGATGCCCTTACCCACTTGCGTACCATTCCGTCACTCATAATGTTCTCGCCATACACCTCACTAATCTTTCGATAAATTTCACACCTTTAGCACTTAAAAATCTAATTACAGCGCGCACTTTACAGTCGGCGGCAGTCTCATTTGGCGGCACCATTTTGAATTCCTCGAAACCGGATGTAAACAGGGCCGATTTTTGTCGAATTTCCGACTAGAGCTAGACAATAGATGCACATATACAGCGCAAATGTCCGGAATGCCAATCACAGTGCTGGAACGGAGAAATTTAAAAACGGTACTTACTTAAAAAACATGCCTCGTACATGCAATCAATTATAAGACCAAAATATAATACCCCCGCCGCAGCAAACCTGCAGACTAAGCGAATTTCAACTTGTCTGATTAAATTTTTACAAAAATATTTCCATAAATAAGACATATTTATTCCCAATTCAAATAACATTAGATTTAACAGGTGCTTAGGTTTGCTGCTACGGGGAAGGTAAAAAGTGTTTTTTGACCATATGTCAATAGTATAGGATGAAATAAATAAATTTGCCAAATCTTATCAATATATATCCATAAACAAGTAAACTACAACAGTTTTCATTTTCTCCAAAAGAATAACATGGGAATTTTAAATTACACTTTTTTTATTTTCTCCGTGACCGTTAGGCATACCACAGCGCTTCAATATACTAAATTATTTCTTTTTTTAACCTCTACAAAATGGTTGAGAAAGAAATTGCAATTTTTTTTATAGGGTAAAAAAATGGGAAAAACCAATTTTTACCCCATAAAACCCCTCATAAACCCCTGTTCCCATGGTCCGATTATGCTGGTTCGCGAACTCGTTCAAATAAACGTAGGTTTACAAGTTTGTACCAAATTTCATCAAAATCGGATCATTTTTGCTTGAGTTATCACGCTAACGGACACATATATAAATAAATAAATATATATATATATATATATATATATGAATGTTAACGGATGGTGTTTTTGGTCTCTGGGGACCTCAAAACGAAAAAGTAAATCGGTCCCGGGTCTAGGTCTTACCATGAGACCTACGGTAATAGCTTATTCCCTATATGGGAAATTCGCTAAAACAATTTTATTTCATAATCATTTTGGTTATCACTTACACAAATATTTAACCCTTTGGTTTTAAGATTTACTTATTGAATGTGTCAGATTTCCTCAGTACAGTTATACAGTAATACAGTTTCTAGAAAGGCACGCCTGAATTAACAGCTGTAATGCCAGACATTTCCTACCTATCGAGTATTTAAGCCTACACTCTTTCATTCAAATCAACAGTCTCATACACCATCTTAGCTATGAACATGTCTTGGGTGAGTAGTGTAATATAAAATAAAAGTATAACTTAATGACAACTTTTAGTAGGTTTATACTGTACTACATAAAGACTATCACTATATATGTGTTCTATAGAATATCACTATAGAAATAATATGAACGTTTATGATTAAGAACTTAAATAAGTATGGTATTACAGATTTTAGTTCTTGTCGCTGCCTCGTACACCCAGAGTGTGTACTGCAGTTACTACCACGGACCCACCGCCAAGCCTGTCGTCCTCCACAACGGCTACCTGGCAGACACCCATGAGGTAGCAGCAGCCAAGAACGCTCATCTCGCCGCTCTAGCCAAGGAATCTCACTACGGAGGAGAATCAGGTTACGGTCACGGCCAGGAATACAGTGGTTCTTACAGGTATGACGGTCATGATGGAGAGATCAGGTACCACGGACCCACAGCCATCCCACACGTCCTACATAACGGACACATCTCAGACACTCACGAGGTGGCCGCTGCTAAGGCTGAGCATTTCGCCGCTGTAGCCAAGGTCAAGACTCACGGGGGCTACGGTGACCACTACAGTGGCAGATACGTCTCAGACTACGACCATGGACACTCCCATCATGTGGTGCCTTACCATGGACCCCTCGCCAAGCCCGTGGTGCTTAAGTCCGGATACCTGGCAGACACTCACGAGGTCGCTTCCGCCAGGGATCATCATCTGCAGGCTGTGACTCGATCCAGTTATCATGGGAGCAACGATTATCCCTGAATGATTTTAGCTATCTGTCAATAAATTTTTTTCACAATTTGCAAATTCCTATTACTCGCCATTCGACCACAAAGGGTTGATTATTGCTATCACCTATAATTATCATTATATTCGGTCAAAAGATTGTAGAGGAAAAATTAAACATGTTAAGTACTCATTGTCCTTAGTTGTTCCATATTATGTTTGATCATAATACAGTAACTCATGTATATTCTACCACTTTCTATACACAATTATAATGTTTTTTTTGTTAATAATAAAGGTGTTAGCACTTGTTTATAATAGACAAACTCTCATATATCTTGAAGCAATTTAAAAACTTAGAAAACATAACATTTTCAAACATGGAGTAACCCATTTCTAAGTTATTGCTTTTTACAGCAGAGGATAAAGCTTAACAGAGACTAGATGAATAAAATATGTAAATATCTAATAGACTTATTTAAAAAAAATTACAAATCTTAACCAATTAATGAAACAATCAGTCTTCATTGGATTTATAGATACCTCGTAATTCATTATGTATCTTTTGATATATATTTCTAATATAAGTGTTTCTCTTTTTCAGTCATTTAAGAATGAACAGATATAATGCCTAACATTTTAAATAAAAAATGAATAACGCATCAAAATCATTAAAACTATACGTCAACACCAAGTTAACCTGACATCAAAAACCAAGATCGTCAAGCAAAATTAAATAAAGAGATTTAAAACCGTAATTTATTTTGGTATTTTATAGCATTAAAAAAAGAGAACTATTGATCAAATATCTCGAGAAGAATTTATGACATGGGAGTTTTTTATAATTTGACGAAGAAATATACTCCTCTGTACAAACAATACTGTACAAACTCTCTGTATATAGATACTTTCTCTTGTACAAACTCCGGTATGTGCTCCATTTACTGAACAAACATAATCTCAGTGGCCGTGGCCTTTGTTTGGTTCGTCGCTGTGGCTATCCCCTTCACAGTCGTTTATATACTGTCTGATTTTTACAACTGAGGTGGCATTTTATAACTGGTAATTTAGCCGAGACAAGAATGGTAGTCAGAAAGTAATTTCCGTTATAGATTGTCCCCTTAGCCTTGCTTCATTAATTTCAAAGGTCCAGTGCTACTGACCAACTTGCTTAAAACGGGATTTAATCTGAATTGCAATTTACCTTCTAACTACCTAACCTCAGTTGAATTTTTAACCTTAGTCAAATTGTACAACAAACGAAAAAGTTATTGAAAATTAATTTAAAGTAGGCTATTTTCATTTATATTTGAAGAGTGGTTGAGGTAGGTAAATCACTACTCATAGTGTAAATCAACAGGTTTTAAACATATTTTAAACTAGACAATTGTTTTTTTTTTTTTTACATATTTTGCAAAAACAAAACAAAAAGGTTTGTGTTTGATAATAATACAACCAGGGTTTGGACAAAGAATTTAAAAAAAAGTCTAAATTTGTTAGCCTAATATCATAGAAACACACACATAAAACAATATGTTTTTAATTAAATAGCATAATCGTCTAAAAAAACATTTATATTATTTTTATTTTTATTTGATTATGATTCTCTTTAATGTAAATTTTGTCACCTACGGAGTAAGTTTTAAGGTTAAAGAGTATTTTATTATTAAATTATACTTTAGAGAAATGTTTTGAACCCTTTTAAAACACGCAATTTCCCGTTATGTTAACTTTAAGACCAGCGGCACTGCAGAAATTAGGATATTGTATCCACACATTTTGTGGAAATAAAGTGATATTTTTAACAATATCGATGTAGTAGGTACAATTTTACAAAATACCCTTCAACCCCAATTGCAAACCTAAAAAAGTTAACAAACTATTTGTGAATTCCGAATTCCCTTACTACTTAGCAATACTATAACTAGTAAAACTACAATATAGAAATTATGGATTAATATATAATTAAGGTGATGACGCAGCCTGTGTGTCTAAAGACAAGCTATCCAGCGCATAAAATTGTGAATGAATCTACATCCATACATCATCACTGACACTAATTTGAAAAGTTTTATTTAATAATTTTTTTTTATTTAATATATAAAATTAAAATAATAATAATAATAATAATAATTGTTTCGTGTGCTGTTATATTTCTGAATTGTACATTTCTATGTAATATTGAAACAATAAAGATTTTTCTAATAAAATAATAATAAATAACAAAATAATCTCTTAAATTAAGTGTTAGAGTAGAAAGTTTGATAGTTACAATGACGTCAAATGAAAACTATTTTGAATCAGAATATAGACTTGTAATAATTATTGAAATATAAAGTTGCAATGTATCACTAACAGTTTGATGGTATACAAAATGAGAAAAATTTAAAATGACGAAAATTTTTACTTGTTCGCTCTTAGCCAAAGTTAAAGTTTGATTTTAAAATGAATGACAACCAATGATAGATCGGATCTTTGTTTGTACTCATCAATCTTTATGATTGATGCAAGTCTGCGAACTTTTTGAACTTTTACTTATCCCCCAACAAAGATTGTGGTCTTAACTCTGTAATAATGTATATTGCATTTAGATTTACAACATTGGTTTGATGCATAAAATAATGTAACCAACTAAACACCGCATGCATAATCAATTAAAACTTACTACTGTATATAATACACGAATTTAGTTATAAAATTAGGCAAAATAAGGCTAAGCTATCTCTTTGCGCCTTATTTTACGACTTAAAACCGTGATATTAATTAATTTTCATTTGATTTTTTAAACGTGGTGTCCTTTGATAGAAAACTTTGAACACTTAATAAAGGGTTGTTAACTTTTATTCATACATCAGACATTTCTTAGTCATTTAAGTTATAAAATTAAAACAGCTGCTATTTTTAACACCAAAAATACACTGTAATGCTTGGTTTGTGTAAATACTTTATGTCGCTACTTTAAATTGTATATTACATGTCATAAAGATGTGTTTTCAGTTGTAGGGATATGAAATTTAAATAATAAAAAAGGCGAATATTTTGTCAGTGTAGCGATTTTCAAAAACTAATTATTTTAGAGTTTGTTTTATTTTTACCGACAAAACTCACTCCAAAAGTTTGGCTGTTTATTTGAGGGACATCCTGTATAATAGTTCAGGAAGCTGACTGTTTTTTTTTATTTTACTCTGGATGGCTTCGTTATCCGTAATCTGCAAAATGTCCCAATTTATCCTACTGAAAAGCACTCTAGGTGTTTAGTAATTTTATTCCGTACGTATTTGGAAAACATGAAATGATAAAAGCATTGGCACTAATAATGTTAATGTAGATGTTTAGTAATATCCTTAATAATTAGTAAATGCACACATTTCTGATGGAAATTGTAGAGCTAAAATATACAATGATAGTACAGTAATTAAATTTAGTACATAATGAACATTTTTCTAATATCACAAACTCTATTTTTAATAGTAAAGTTTTGAACATTAAATTTCATCTAAAGACTACATGGAATAAATTAATTAGGTGCCTATATTTTTAATTCTGTATTTGAAATATGTTCACAGAAAAAAGATTTGTTAATTCCGTTATGTTATAATGGAGTACCTATTGATATGAAGTGTTTTAATGACCTATTTTAACGCACAGGTAAATCTATTCAAACACAACTTAACAGAAAGAAATTGGAGCAGAGCTAAAGCAGCGTGGGAAAGATTACAACTGGAATTTTCATTTAGGGTCAAATGAAACACGTTCAACAAACAAACCTCCGCAGTGTAATTCTTCACGCCATTACGAAAGCGTGCCACAACCATTAATTCAAGCAAGAGTTTAAAGACGCTCTTAGACATAATTAACTGTTCAGCAATATTTAGATTTATTGTACTACTAATTAAAATTCTCGACAATCGTCACTAAAATGTATTTATAGTTTTGAGTAATGTAAAGCTAAAAAACTAATACATACTATAAAAGTCTATGAATCACGGTATACATAGTTGGATTTTTAACTGACGAGAATTTTGTAAAAAAAAACACACCACTTGATACTGAATATGATGTCAGAGAATACAGTTAGCTATCTCATCTTTCATCCTTTTCATACTCATAATAATACAACACTAAATAATTCTTCATAGGAATGATAAAAATCAACTAAAATAAGGTATTAGGCTAATTCAGGATTATAAGTACTGTGTAAATTCATTACAACATGAAATATTACTGGAATACACAATTATTATTACTGAAAATCATTGAACTACACTACTGTAGTAATTGGGAGAGTTTGAATTTTCTCTGACATTATAAATGACAAATATCTCCCTTATCTTTCACCCGTGATGAGCGTTGCCATGTTGCCATTTCCTGTATTTCACGTGTATATCTGAGGACTGAGGATGTGTTACTCAACATCAACTGTATTTAAGCACTCCGTATTTCCAGACAGACCATTAGTTGCATTCGACAGTCATACAATGAAGACAGCTCTGGTGAGTAGCTCCATAACAATTACTTAGGTTTTATGCCAATAATGAATATAAATGTAATGTTTTGGCTTAAAATTGGTATTTATTTAAAATGATATCCCTAAAAGTGTCGCTACAGAATTATTCTTGATTGGTTTTCATTTGTAATAGAAAATCACAATTAATAAATATGTCATTAAAATCTTACTAATGAATTTATATATAACTTTTTAGTTATTATTTTATTAGTACAGTGTTGTTTGTTTTGGATTTTAAAAATTTAATCATTTTGTAACTATAATACAACTAGTGATAGCTAGACTTTGCGTGTAGCTTTAACGATTCTGACACATACAGTTTCCAAACACATTTCAAAACTCGTTAAAATGTTTTAGTATTTAAAACATGCTATCATGGGTTGTTAACAACGTTTAAAAACTGTTTTGTTAAATGTGTTGTTAACAATGTAAAAAATGTTTAAAACGTGTTAAAAAAATATTTTTTTATAAATAACATATTTTACAGGGTTTCGTGATTGTTGCTGTCCTTTACATCCGGAATGTGTACTGCAGCTACTACCACGGACCCACCGGCAAGCCTGTCGTCCTCCACAACGGCTACCTGGCAGACACCCATGAGGTAGCAGCAGCCAAGAACGCTCATCTCGCCGCTCCAGCCAAGGAATCTCACTACGGAGGAGACTACGGATACAGTCATGGCCAGGAATACAGTGGCTCTTATGACGGCCATCATGGAGACATCAAGTACCACGGTCCCACCTCCATCCCACAC